GGAAAGACATTTTGCATCAACTACTCAACATGAATAGTCAAGTTGATCCATATGTCCTTGAGGCCATCAGCTGTGCAGGCAACAATGAAGAACAGATAATGGAAACAGAAATTAAAGCTGGAATCGAGTCCCTGGGGGAAAAAGAAGAACAGGGCACCTTATCCACACAATGTAATATCTGAAATGCTAAAGCATGGTGGAAGAAGTCTATATAGTCATGCTCCTTTCCAAACTATTTAGCCTAATTTGGGCAAAGGATGAAGTTTCTGAAGTCTGGCCATGCTCAATCACTGAATCAACTCTTTAAAGAAAAGTCATCTGTTTGCAATAACTACTGAGGAATAAGTCTTATAAGCATCCTACAAAGGTATTCTGTAGAGTGATTCACAGACAAATGAAATGAAAAAGAGAGGAAATCCTTTCAGTGGTTTTGACTACGCTCAGCAGGAGATTGATGCTGTAGGGACTGATCTTCCGGGGGTCAATTTTGTGGTTCTACTAAAGACCTGATCAGTCAAATGCTAACCATGCTCCCATCAATTCCGGTATTCCACTGGATCAAGTAAAAGGATTTGATGCTAGAATTTCTCCCATTGAGCCCCAACAGTAGAGATGCTGTAATAAGGTATGTCATCTCCAGCTACCCTATTCACATAGGTGGTGTTTCGTGTCTTAGTACAACATCGCCTCCTACAATAGACCTGGCTAGTCACACACGCACACAGGCTCTAGACCTGAATACTTCACCATGGATCAGACAGTGGGTTTTTGTCAAATTATGGAGAGAGATATCAAGTTTTGTGCATTCATTGATATTAAGAAAGCATTTGACTCTTAACTGAAAGTATTTGTGCAAAGCACTCAAGTAGTACAATTCTAGCAGCTGGTTGACTCAAATACTACAGAAAACTCTATTCTTGCTTGGTATGCATTATGGGTACGTCTAGACTACATGGCTCCGTCGACGGAGCCATGTAGATTTGTTGTTTTGGCAAAGGCAAATGAAGCTGCGATTTAAATGATCGTGGCTTCATTTACATTTACATGGCTGCCGCGCTGAACCGACAAACAGCTGATCAGCTGTTTGTCGGTTCAGCGCGGCAGCCATGTAAATGTAAATGAAGCCGTGATCATTTAAATCACGGCTTCATTTGCCTTTGCCTATGTGTCTAATCTACATGCCTCTGCCGACAGAGGCATGTAGTCTAGACACAGCCTATGGGTCAATGGAGAGCTGAGAGAGTGCTTTGAAGTGCAAAAGAGTCAAACAGATGAATACTCAGTCCAATACCTTTTGTTCTATACATAGAAAACATTTTATCCAACTTTTTTAGTGTTATTGATGGAGGCTGCAGAATATTGGGGAGAATTATCAAACACCTTGACTTTGCAGACAATATTATAATGATAATGTCTACAGAGAAATGAAAGCAATTTTAACTTGTGCACAACAGACAGAGAAAAGCGATTAAAAATGATTGAATAGCCAGACTACCGATAACCTCAAAAATCAAGGAACAGGCTAACATTAATGTTATAGACACTGAAGAAGTAGACAGTGGCAGCTACTTGGATTAGTACATTTCAACATGAAGTTGACATCAAGAACCAGATTGCTGCTGCCTGTACAATGTTCATATGCCTGAAGAAAAATATTTAGAATCAGTGTCCTTAACAGATAAAACTTGATCATATCCAGCACTCATTGTGGACACATTATTTTATAGTTGCAAAACATGGGGACAAAGCATCTGGAGAAAAAGCAGCAAGCATTTGAAATGAGGCACCTGTACCATATCCTAGGCATGACAAAATAGATTAGCTAGATTGAGAAATAATATCCACAGAAGACTGAAAGAGACTATGATCATCACAAGGCATCAACTACAACATATTGGCCACAGGCCTGCCAACAGTGTGGGATAAAGGGGGCAACTGCTCTAAGTGATGGGAGGTGGTGTGGCATACTCTCAGTAGCACTGAAAGCTGGCTGCCCTGGCCATGCCCCTTCTGCCAAACCCCCCTCATCTTCCATGAGTGTGAAGCCACACTCCCCCATCCCTATCCAAAGGCTTGGTGTGGCTGTCGATTCCTCTGATTGGCCATGTTGCTAAAATAACCCCATGCCAATTACCAAAAACTGTTCTCTGAGAAGGAGCAGGGTGAGAGAGGCTGAGGATGTCCGAGGAGACAGTGACATAATATCTACTACATATGTGTGTGTGTGTGTGTGTGTGTGTGTGATTGGCAGATCTGTCTATCAAGAACTCCTCTTAAATGGTAAGAGCTAGGACCACCAAATTCGGAATGCAGCTTCCTCTTGTTAAAACTTAAAGCATGGCAAGGGTTTGGTGGTGCCAGGACAATGAAATGTGCCTGGAATTTGACTGTTTCTAATCAAATGGAAAGGGAGGCGTCTGACAGCAGCAACAGTCATGCTGTCGGATGACAACAGGGGAGATGCTGCCTGGCCAGTGCAGCCCCCACTGCCCTCAGCCAGCCCAGCTCTAAGGGCAGGAGGGTAGGCAGTGCAGTGCCCACTGCCGCATCTGCAGCCACTACCACCTTGGCCAGCCCCAACTCTGGGGGCAGCAACCCAGGAAGCATGGTCCCCAGCACCTTGGTTAGCTTCAGGACACTATTGCCCAACCAGCCTGTTGGCAAACCCCCCAACCTCCTGCCCTGACTCTTGCACCCACCCATCCCCTGCCCTGAGCACATCACAACCTGCCTTGACTCCTGCATTACCCACCCATTTCCCTGACTCCTGTTCCCGCTAAATCCTTCCCTGACTCCTGCCATCCTTCCCTGAGGCTCCCCCTCCACACACACACACACCTCCCAACCACCTTCCCTAATGCCTGCATCCCCGCCTCCTACCCTGAGTCCCCACACGGATCTGAGCAGCGCCAGGTAAATCCTTTAGTAGTACATAAAATAATACAGGCAACACCCCCAACAGGTTCAAACAAATGTGTACAGAGTCTGCTCATAATCCCAAATCAGCCCAGCCTTAGCATTGGAAAAATGATGATATTAGGCAAGAGGCAGAAATGTATACTCCACAATATAAAACTCAAGCTATACCATCAGGAAAAGATGCAGCTTATAAATCCCCTAGTTCGAACTAGGGTGGTAATGTAGGCAACCGGAGTTGCAAATGAAGCCCGGGATTTGAATTTCCCAGGGTTCATTTGCATCTCGCCGTGCGCCGCCATTTTTAAATGTCCGCTAGTGCGGACTCTGTGCCGCGCGACTACACGCGGCACGGACTAGGCAGTTCGGACTACGCTTCCTACTCCGAACTACCGTTACTCCTCATTTCACGAATAGGAAGCCTAGTCCGAACTACGTAGTCCATGCCACGAGTAGTCGCGCAGCACGGAGTCCGCACTAGCGGACATTAAAAAATGGCGGCGCACGGCGAGATGCAAATGAACCCTGGGAAATTCAAATCCCGGGCTTCATTTGCAACTCCGGTTGCCTACATTACCACCCTAGTTCGAACTAGGGTGATAGTGTAGACATACCCTGAGAGTGTTCTGTTTTGAGAGATTTATTGAAGTGGTCTGACTTGGAATTCCCATATTATTTTTAAGAGAGTGAAACAGTAGTTAGTCATTTTACATCTCTTAAGGGATAAACACAGAAACACTGTTAAAGGTAGATAGAAATATCACCACTGTAGGGTTTACCCTAGCAGAATTTTATAACTTTGCTTCTTGTCCAGTTGTTAGTGAGATGGATACAGCTGTACATTCATTTCAGTATTCTCCATCTGTATTTTCCCTTTAGGGCAAAATGAGCCTGAAGATTCCTTACTGAAAGCATCACAATTGGAAAATGCAAGCATTGTACTGGGGCTCCCTGTCCGGCAACATCCATGGTCGGGCACTTACCATGGATGTTCCTTGGACCACAGAGCCCAGGAACAGGGAGGTCTGGTGGTAGGACAGAAGTAGCATCGGAGACACCGGCGACTCAGCGGGAAACCCCAGTGTGTGTGTGTGTCATGACAGGCAGCACATCAGGGAGTTCTGGCCCCAGCAGTGGCTGTGGAGCTCTAGATCCAGTGGTGACCAGGTAGTTCTAGCCCCGGCTGTGGAGCTCCAGCTCTGGCCACAGAGCCAAGCAGCTGCAGAGCTCTGCCTGGGCTGCAAAGCTCCAGTCCCGGCTGTAGAGTCAGGCAGTTGCAGATCTCTGCCCCAGCTGTGGAGCCCCAGCCATGGCAAAACCAGCCCCGGCAGCGGCAAGGCCAGCGGCACCTACAGAGCTCGGGGTGGGGGGCGATTGGGGCAGCAATGGGGGCAGCCTGGATCAGGAAAGGAGGGACCTCCCCTGGTCCAGCAAATCCCCTCGTTCGGGACCAGTCAGGTCCCGAGGGTGCCGGACAGCGAGGTCCAACCAGTTTTAGCTTTTAACTCATTCAGCAGCATCAAGAACCAGTTTGATGTGTGTGACGTAAAGGATGAGAGGTGGGATTGGGAATTGGTGCCATTTTAAAGGAAACTGTGATAAACTCATAACTATATAGATATATTTTATAGAAAGACTTTGTATAGTTGATCCAGCTCCTGTGGGATGTGCTACAAAGCTTTAATGTCAGAGCCCTCCAAGAATAAGAAACGGGCTATTTAGTTCAAGTCTCTATTAAGCAGACATGGTATTAAAAGTGGCTCAGTTACACTCTGTAATTTTGTGGAGTAAAGTATTGTCTGCTGGATTAAGTTTTCTGAGTTTATGCATTTGATCAAGGACTTCCAATTATATTTAAATGATACACTCAGAAAAAAAATGATTACTTCATCTCTGCTCCCAACTTATAAACTGCAACCCTCAAAACAGGTGGTTCATGGAAAACTGACATATAGCCTGTGCATTAGCAGTTACTCAGTCTTTTGTTACCTTAAGTTTGTCACCTGCTTTGGCTATTCAGCTAGATCCATACAAGGTTGAATTTGTAGTCAAACATAAAACAAAAGCCTAGGAAGTAGTTTTACCAAAGACTGTCAGCTCTGCTGGGTCGCTGTCTCGTTCCCCCACCATGTTGGTGCCGACACAAGTGTACATGCCAGCGTCACTTTTCCTCGTGTTTGAGATCATCAGTTTCCCACCTCGTATCTGTTTGAAGAAAAGAAAAGGCACTGTAATTTATATAACCAGACATAAAGGGAGACTCAGATTACAAAGATCTAAAACACGAAGTGCAGGCTTTTGTTTTTTACAGAAAAGCTTTGCCTTTTTTTGTGTAAAGATTATCAGTCCATCTATTTGGTGATGAATAATCATAATGTTAATTTGATATTAGGCTCTTCTGAAACGTATTTGATTCTACGTCTGGTCTTGTCTCAATTTTTTTGGTTTTGTGTGATGCTCTTAAATTTCAGAACAGTTGGAGTTCTTGCTACCTTTTTTTGCTCATCTATCCTGCATTTGCATTTGCTTAGCTTTTCAAAGCAAAGGCAAAGGTGCACCCATGACATCTGGGCAACTCCATCTCCAAAGCATAGAAGAGTTGCTCATAGCAATAGTTGTGACTTTTTTTAAGATGGATTTTTTTCTCTAACCTTGTTCTCAGAAAGAGCTGACCCATTTATATTCAGCCTCAAGGCAGGTAACCAGAATAAAACAAATTGGTTCCTGATTAGCTAAAAGTCAGAAAAGCTAAAACCAATGGAAAATATGGTATTTTAGTAAAAAAAAAATAGACAATCTTAATTAACCAGATCTCCCTATGACTAGAGATGAACCTGAAGTTCATTTTTAACTCTTCAAAGGTTAGTACAGGAGGGTTTGGCTTGGAGCTTTTGTGGGCACAGCCCACTTCTTCAGATGACTGATCATCTGAAGAAGTGGGCTGTGCCCACGAAAGTTCATGATACCATCTACATGTTTTGTTAGTCTTTAAGATACTACTAGACTATTTGTGGTTTTTAAAGTCTTTCATAAATATTTATATACTCAGTCTTACAATCAGAACTGTGCATGCATAATCACTGTTTGCCTACTATCCCAGTAACATCACTGAAGTTCCATAAAAACCCAAAGATCTCCTTGCATGGAACCGATTAGATGATTGGGGTTTATATTTTTGTGGATACAGTTATGTAAATTATTCAGTGCTCATTCAAAGCCATTGAGAAATATACTTCTTAAAAACATTATCTATCAATGGCATTTTGGAAGGACTTACACTGATCCTCTCCTCCCTATCGTCAATGCGGATTTTATCTTTCTTCCAATAGATTGTGGGTTCAGGATGTCCTCGAGGAGGCTGGCACTCCAGAATAGCAGGTTCTCCAGCTGCCACAACAATATCGGTAGGGTTTTGGCGAAAGTCATCTCGTAGCACTAATTGAGCATAAGAGGAAAGAACAAGAAAATGAGTTGTTAGGAATTGCAACATGGTAAAGGCAAACAAATTGTTTCTCTGAGAAAAGTAGCTTCCAAGTTTTCAAATGGCAGCTTGATATTAACATATGCACTGTAAAACTCCTGGCAAAATATTATATTGCGGGGTAGAAGGAAGAGAGAATATGACTCAACAGGGAGCCTCTCTTATCAAAAGAATACAGACAAACCATGTATGAACATACATTTTCTAAAAGTAAATGCATTACTCATCATTTAAAATACAGAAGGGCCAATATATACACTGCTCCTTTTTTTAGCCTTGTATTCTAGATACAGGTGCTAAGTAACATCTAGTCAACCTGAGTATTTCTGGTGTGATGCTGATTCTTTTCATTAGAGAAAACAGCATGTTGGACCTCGGTTGTAATCTTTTAAAAATGTGGTGTGCCTGGCTCTTCTATTCGCACCTTTCTTGTCAACGGTCCCTCCCCCTCCACTCCTGGAAAGGTGTTAAGGTTCTAGGGCTGACACCATTGTTACCGAATTGCAGAGTTTTGTCTTTATTCCAGAAGGCTTCTATTTTCTGATGAAATTGGTGCTATTGATCATTGTTTCCAAAAGATGCCAAGAAGCTGAGCTTCTGTACAGAATGCTAGCAGTGCACCTGCTTCTTCTGTTCCTTTGATAGTCATGTAGGTCTGACCAGACTTGACCACAATAGGTAAAAGACGAAAACATTTTAATTGCCAAAAGTTTTGAAAACTAAATTTGGCAACACATGGTAGGTTCTTATTTAAATCAAGCTACTAGGAAGCAGGATCAGGTTCAGCTAGCTGGCTCCTCCATATGTTGAAATGATATCCACTTTATCGTTATTCCTCTATGGGTGTCCTCATCTCTAGGTTAATTGACATCTTATAAAAATCAGACTGAAAATTGTTCTAGATAGAGCAACTGAAATTGAATTTAGGGCATTTCCCCTTCTCGAATTTCAGCTATATATAAGTTTCATTATTGCTTTACTGCACTTCCCTCCCTTAATGAAACCAGAGTCCGCCGAGAAATTAGAAAACACTTTATCCTAGTGAAAGTGCAGTCAGGGAGAGTTTAATAGAAATTGGTCAATCTCAGTTTATATGCAGAGTTAATTTACTGCTTTCACAGTTAATAAAAAACAATGTTTTAAACTGAATATCTTATGTCCTCTTCTGTACCACACAAAAAGAAATTATTATTTTTATGCACAAAGATTAGCCTCTGAGGGTACTGAGGTGAGTGTGCATTTTACAGTGGAACTCAACATAGGATGGGGTTTCAGTTATCATTTAGATTTTGAGATACACAAGTAAACCCCAAAGGGGAGAAGATTTTTTTTTTAATATCATGTTATATATAACAGAAAAGGATGGGCTATTTAGGCCATTTTTAGAGGGACAAAATAAAAATAATAGGAAATGGTGAGCACCAAACATCATTTTGGCAAGGTCCCAATTTTTTTTCCAAAATAGCACATCTGGTAGCTTGAAAGATATTGTTTAGTACTGCTTTTCCAAAAAATATCTTGACAAAAGCCTCAACCCAAAAGATGTTTATGACTAATGTGACTTGCTTCTCCAACGCTAATATTTTATCCAGAATAACTAAAAATAGAAAAAAGTAGGGTATTTTGACTTTTTTGAGATAAAATGGAATATAATGTATATAACATATAATACAGAAATAACACGATGAAGATTATGGACTACTAACAATTTGGCACTACAACATGTGTTTGTGGCCATCATGTAAGAAAGATAGTATTCTCTAAATGAAGCCAAGAAAGGCAGCCTCAGCAGTAATTTCAAAGGAGAGGCCAAAAAAGGACTTTCAAAACCACCCATTTCTGGAAGTTTCTCATATAGCCAAGAATTGAGACAGAAGAAATGTTTTTGAAAGAAGAAGTATCCTCTTGCACAACTGCTAAACTGCTGCCAAGCATCGACTCTTTCTAAAACTAAAAAGTTGCCAAGCGACAGAAACATTAATCCTTTACAAGAGGCTTATGGACAGCATTAAGTGGTTCCACCATCATTCCATATGTTACTAAACTCATAATTGTTTTCAAAATTAAACAAATATGTATGGTCTGGTTCTTCATTATTTTACAGATCTTTAGTGCAATTCCAGAGATGCAAAAACATAATAAAATTAGCAGATCTGTACACTGAAAAGTTCCCCAAAGCATGATGATTCTACGCCACCCAATCACAGATCCTGACACAAGGTTGGGGATGAGAGCATGGCTGAAGCACAGTGATTGTTTTCCACAGCCAGAACAGTTTCTTATGGTCACAGGAAAGCATCTGTAAGTTACAGCAACACCAATATGGAAGATGTTCTGACTTATGCTTGGAGAATAAGGCCCTGACCAGCCATGACTAAGTTTTGAAGTCCCCTTTTCCTTTCTATTCTGGTTCTATATCACATGTGACTTGCATGGAACACAAAAGTGACATTTAGTTCGGTGAAAACATTGAAATTTGACTTGTGTAACTGTAATAGATATATCTACCTCAGAAAGTGTCTTATGTTTTAGAAAATGCAAGAGAGATAATTGGCATAAGGACAAGAGGAAAATGGGAAAAGGAGAAAACCGAAGGAGACCGGGACAGAATAGTGGTGGGATGTGTAATTAAGATGACCAAGAACATAGAAATTATGAGAGCAAGAAACAATGAGTTAGAACATGGAAAAAAGAAAGAGGGTAAAAGGAAGGGAAAGGATACGAATAAAGAGAGGAAGAACAAGAGGACAGGGTAAAAGATAGGAAGGAATAATGAGACTAAAGATCTCTTGGTGCCATTTAGAAAGAGTGAGTTACTAATAACAATTTTTTGCTGCCAGAAGTTATGTTGGCATAAAGCCACTGAACTTAGTACAACTCTTGTGCACATGCATACTTGGCTCCTTGCATCAGCGCTGCATATGCTTACCAAGAGCACTTCTGTGAATGCATAGTGCGATGCACCATGCTTAGGTATGCCAACTTTTGAAAAGTTTTTGCAGTGCCTGGTGCAAAAGAAACAAGTAACATGGAGTGAATGGGATTAAGCGGGTAAACTTCCAGGATGCAATTGTCTCCATCCTATAATGACATCTATATGCCCTAATTGTGACTTTTTAAAAAATCATGCTAACCCACTTGGCCCTCCTCACTATTATCTACCTCTGACAGAAATCTGGAACCTACATAGTTCTGTTTTATTGTCAGAATCACTGCAAGCAGAACATACAATCCTCCTGTATCTGCTGAGCCACAAACATAACTGAATCTGTGGTGAATATGAGTTTCTTAGAGAACAGACAGCTGAAGAAACTAGCAATATCAATTCAAAGTTCCTAGTGGCATTCACAGAATAGTTGCGGGTAATGGAGTGGCACTTCTGGGCGTGAAAACAAACACTGGCTAGTGGGCTTGCAGTGTAATGCAGGCATGGGATCACTAGAAGTGGCTGCTGAACTTTCAGATGTGCAAGGCCTCATTCTGTATGCTGAGCTTGCCTACTGTTGGTAAATTGAAAGTATGCTGGTGATATTTACTCACAAGATTGGGTCTCAGTGGGGAAAAAAAATGTTATAGTTGCCTATAGCATAATATCTGTGAAGCAAAGGGAGAAAAGTTGCTGCCTTGATGGAGGTGAAGCAGCTGTTTACTGAGTTTGAACAGCCAGACACAAGGGTAATTAAAATACGGAGCTATACAGTTCGGGGAGACATTGAAGGAGCACTTTAACAGCAAGTCATAATAATGTTCTTTGATGTAGTGTGAACTATCTGACTGTGCTCTTTGAGGCCTTTTGGGAACTGTGTGGTACTTGTACATCCATGAATATAATAGTGTCAATGCAACTGTTAATTTTATGGTATTTGCTGTACATTTATTATTATTATCTTGTGTTTGTCACTGATCCATGAATCGTGTCATACTATACAACAACAATTAAGTTGGTGCTTTCAGAACCAGTAGGGATGCTACCACATAGACTCTGAACTAATAAAAATGAACCATTTCCAAATAATATAATTGTATTAGGTAATAAAACCAGATTAACAAAAAATCTATCAAAATCAAAGCAAATATGCTAATATGCAATATCTGTTTTTGCTGTGGGAGAAGCCCCCTAATTTTAGAATCGTAGAAGATTAGGGTTGGAAGAAACCTCATGAGGTCATCTAGTCTACCCCCTCTATCCCACTCAAAGCAGGACTGACCAAAAAGAAATCATCCCAGCCAGGGATTTGTCAAGCCTGGCTTTAAAAAACCTCTATGCATGGAGATTCCACCACATGCCTAGGCAACCTGTGCTTTACCACCTTCCTAGTGAAATAGTTTATCCAACCTAGACCTCCCCCACTACAACTTCTCGCAACCGTTACTTGTAGGCCTCTCATCTCCCACCACTTAGATAGTCCAGCTCTATACCTCTTTGGAACCTTTCAATCTCTTCAGGCAGGGGAAGGCTGCTGTCAAATCCCCGAGTCATTCTTCTCTTCTGCAATCTAAATAAGCCCAGTTCACTCAGCCTCTCCTCATCAGTCATATGCCTCAGTTTTCATTGTTCTCCACTGGACTCTCTCCAATTAGCACACATCTTTTCTGTAGTAGCAGGCCCAAAACTGGATGCAGTATCTCAGATGTGACCTCCACATTGCCAAATAGAGGGGAATAATGACTTTCCTCGATCTGCTGGCAATGCTCCTACTAATGCAGCCCAATATGCTATTAGTCTTCCTGATAATAAGGGTACACTTTTGACTCTTATCCAGCTTCTCATTCACTGTAATTCCCAGGTCCTTTTCTGCAAATCTGCTACTTAGCCATTCAGCCCACAGCCTGGAGCAATGTTTGGAAATTTTCTATCTCTATCCCGCTGGCCAGCTTAGTGTCATCTGCGAATGGGCAAAGGATGCAATCCATCTTCTCATCGAGATCATTATTGAAGATGTTGAACAAAATT